GTTTGTGCGAATGCGATCTAGGGTGGACCATGAGCTTCGTGGAAGATTAACCCCCCCCAGGGATCAGAATCATCATCATTAACCGTAATCATTCCACTGCTGGATGAAGACATTCCCATGAGCTGTGCGCCCTCGATCGTGGGCTCGTGACGCATAAACTCACGTGGCACCTGCACACGGGAGCTGATTTGATCGCTCCATCTCCGCGGTGGCGCCGTCCTCTCGGCCGTGTCGCTCTCCTCCCCTTGGCTGCCGCTCCGTCGCAAGTCTCGACCATCAACTCCCTTCGAGTGACGTGTCCTGCCCAAGCCCATTTACAGGGTAATGGTCCCAATGTATTGTCCCCACCCCCCACCCCAATTATTAATTGAAACCTAACCTTTTTTTCCCATTTGCAAATTTATTTATGTTTTAAACAAACCTTTCCAAAAAATATTTTTATTAAAGTGTTACAGAATTAAAGGGGGGGGGGGGGAGATGGGTCCCAACACATCTGGACCACCCTGTACTGTAATCTCAGGATGGTGCTGCATGCACCTTTGGATGTTCGCCCAGTTACTTCACCCGTGATGTTGCGTACGATAGGAAAGCGGATTGCCCGGAAGGGAAAAAAACCACACTTTGTGCGGCGGGACATCAACACTCAAGGCACTCCTTTGTGCAACTGGCCGGGAGACGCCAACGCGAGATTTCGTTGCGGGACACCATTCTAGGCGCGTACAAAAAATGAGGCCGCCATTTATTTTCGTTTGTAAACGTTGGTCCGGATGAACCCGTGGCTGGTTTTGAGAGGCATCCCACTTTAGCCTTCTGAATCCGTCACGTGACTGATACAACAGGCGTAATGGAATCTGCGCCCATAAGCCATCGCCGCGCTGGTGTAAGAAGTTGTTTTGTTAGATTCGTAACTTGTTTTGCTATTCGACTGACCCCAATAAAAACATTCTGCCTAATGCATCAACAAGGCTTGCCCCCTAACTTGAACAAAGCGAACCATGGCAGAGCAATACCGGTAATGAGACAATGTATCCATCATACATGTCTGTCCTTCCACATTTCTACAAAAATCAAAAACCATTGGTCCTAGATTTGAAGTTTTAGTGACTGCAAGGATTCATACTCTTTGTTTTTTTTAGGTAAAGTCACGTAGGTAAAAAATTTGTAATAAAATAAAACCGTCACAGCTGTGACGGTACCACCTGAAGACGGAAGCTTGTGTTGCCTCCGAAACGTCGTGATTGAATTAATTTTATTTGAACGTTTTACCTACGTAACCCATTTGTCGCATCGCCTGCTCGCGCGCCATTACTCCAGTCGCGTTTGTTTGCAAGGAGCACACTTTCTGGGACCCGTTCCAACGTACGGTAAAGCGTGACTCATCGGTAAGCTTGAGACAGCAACGCCGTGGTGCTGGCGCGAGTTTGCTTGCAATGAAGTGACGCTCGCTCAAAATGATGCACTCCCGCGAGGCAATGGAGGGTTGTGGAAAAATAACGTTTGTGTGTTGCGTGCGTGTGTGCATGAGACACGGATATCAGAATAAGAAGAATATACTCTTAGTACTTTCGGTAAAGTCACGTAGGTAAAAAATGAAATTAAAATTTATAAAAATAAAATCACGACGTTTCGGAGGCAACACAAGTCTCCGTCATCAGGTGGGACCGTCACAGCCAGATTTGCTGCATCAAGTGCACAGCCAGATTTGCTGCATCAATTTTAATTTAATTTTTTACCTACGTGACTTTACCGAAAGTACTAAGAGTATGAATCCTTGCAGTCACGAAAGCTTCAAATCTAGAAATAAGAAGGTTTATTTTTACGCGAAGAATCCGATGCGCGACAGTGACACACTCTCCCGTCGTCAATGATGTCTTCTCCACAACGACCGTCATGAATTTTCGGAGGAAGAGATCGTTTACAAATATATACAGCTACTAGTCACCTTCCTTCCATACGGCTCAAGAAAAAATACGTCCGAAGAAAAACACACGCGCCCGCGCGCGCGCTGGAAAGCGTCCAATAGGTCCATGCGTACGCGTGGTTTTTCCTCCTTGCTTCGTGAAGCACACACACACAGAGAGAGAGAGAGCGAGCGGTTTCGCTAGTTGCTCATATGGCCCCAAGTCTCATACCAGGCGGCAGATGGCGCAATCGAAAAGCCTTTAGCCCCATAGCGACGGGGCAGCGTTCACAAACGGTGACGGTGAATGAGAAAGCGAAATTTATACTAAACTCTTTGGTTCTTTCGGTAAAGTCACGTAGGTAAAAATAACTAATAAAAGATAAATAATACAAATAATAGAAAAAAAATAAAAAAAATCACGACGTTTCGGAGGCAACACAAGCTTCCGTCTTCAGGTGGAACCGTCACAGCACGATTTACTTGATACAGCAATCGTGCTGTGACGGTTCCACCTGAAGACGGAAGCTTGTGTTGCCTCCGAAACGTCGTGATTTATTATTTTATTTCTACTATTTCTTCTATTATTTTTATTATTGATCTTTTATTATTTATTTTTACCTACGTGACTTTACGGAAAAAACCTAAGAGTATAAATCCTTGCAGTCACGAAAGCTTCAAATCTAGAATAAATTTATACTCTTTGGTTCTTTCGGTAAAGTCACGTAGTTAGTAATATGTATTTCAGTCACGAAAGCTTCAAATCAAAAGCAAAATTTACTTTAACTCGTGCGAGCGGAGTCGTTTTTCATCATAATTGGAAACCACGTTTGAAGGTGCGTGGATCAAATGTCTCTCTCACGTGCCCCCCCCCCACCCCCCCCCCCAATTGCCAGGGTGCTTCTTTGCGAGCTCCTATTAAGAGCAGCATAGCTCAGTGGGATTTGCCTGGTAGGTTGGGGATGATTGAGTGTTGTATTTGCACGTGTTTGGGCGATGTGTTTACCTTTCTTGTACTTTACACTCCCATTGTGTTTTCGTACTGTTTGTTGTTGTATCGTTCTTACCCGCCCCGACTGGACATCTGTGAAAAAGAGCTTAATAGCTCATCGGATTCCTCCAGTATAAATACATATTCTGATTCTTTTATTCTGACAATAAGGGGGGGCTGGTATGACCGGTACCACGTCCGCGTGGCTACCTTTGTTCGCCTAGCGCCGTCTTTTCGCAACGTACAATGATCTCTGTGCCCAGTCGACCAGAAATATGTCCGTGGGCAGGTTGAGACATCGACTGCCAGCGATGTACCAGAACGTACACATCCACAACGTCAACAAAAGTCCACGCATTCATTTGTGAGCAAAGGCATTTTAGTATCACATGAACTCAATATTGACTACGTATGATGATGCTGATCATGAGCCAGATGTTGTTCTTTAGCTCAGATAAGCAGGTTAATCTTATTAATTTTCTTGAAACAACTCAAAATGTATTCACCCATGCAGGAAGTCCTCGCTGAGTCTCACGATTTTTCAGGAGGGTCATAAAAATAATGTATTCATCTAACACGTTACAATTTCGATTCATGTCAGTATCCAACTGCAACCGGCGAAGACCATTAATGGACTACACTTGAGAACCCAGTCTAACCGTGGGTATTTACTCAGATCTCAAACCCAGGATCTCTGCAATGCGATTTCATCGCTTCAGGCGAGACCTCCACATGCATTTAAGTGCACAGCGTGAAGCGAAGGCACTGGCGCATTCGAGATGCTCCCAGCATCTTGATGTGCTTCTTCACTGACTCTCGACATTGCATTTCATCTCAGTGCTGTGACACCTAAGCCATCAAAAGCCAGGCTTCGAATCATGTAGATAACGACGCACCAATTGATCGATTTAAATCTGCTTCTATGTTCGCGATACGCGCATGGCAAGCAAGCGCGTGGGAAAACCGTACGTAGATCGTTTACAAGTTTTGCAAATCATCACGAATGAAAACGCACTCGTTGTACATCTGGGCTCACGGCGCAAACGGGGAACTGTGCAAGTTGAGACGCGACAAACGAAGCCGATTCCTTCAATCGAATCACAACCCCGGAAAATGACAACTCATCAAATCACTCTGGGGAGGGGGGGGGGCTATGGGAATTGTTGCAGGTTCAGTCGTAATAGACGTACCACTCGGAACTGCCGGTGGAATCGAGGCCATGGAGTCCCGAGGGGGCCTCGAAAAAGGCGCTAGGAGGGCCACAGCAGAGGAGGCCTCATCTGGCATTTCGCCCCTGGCTTCCAAAGACCCGTAGGTAAAAAATTTAAATAATAAAAGTAAAATTAAAATAAAATACAAATCACGACGTTTCGGAGGCAACACAAGCTTCCGTCTTCAGGTGGAACCGTCACAGCACGATAGCTGTATCAAGTGAGAGAAATTCCAAGACGGAGGCTTGTGTTGCCTCCGAAACGTCGTGATTTTTATATTATTTTTATTCTACTTTTATAAATTTTAATTTTAAATTTTTACCTACGTGACTTTACCGAAAAAACCTAAGAATATGAATCCTTGCAGTCACGAAAGCTTCAAATCTAGAATTCCAAAGACCCGTTGGGGTGACACTGAGCGCACTATCCACAGTGCGAGTGTGAATGCATTAGCTTTGACCTTTGCGTGTCCATCTTTCTCTCTCTGTAATGCGGGGCAGTCGCGGTTTTCTTCGCAAAGATGATCCAATATGAACGAAAATTCGAGTATAAAGTTGCGCTGCTCTTAGGGACCTAACCCTGCAGGAAAAAACACGCCGATCAAAGGGTTGCCAAAAAATTTGTCGATAAATCTGGAGAGCTACAAGCCAGAAGCGAACATGATTTCGCACGTCATGCGTGGGCCTCGACATCATCTTGCGGCTGCACACGGCAAGCACCACATCACATCGTCTCGTGGAGCAGCGGCTTTAGAAAACATCGTCACCGCCAACCAAATACTCCCGAGGACGAATGCGTGTTGCGAAGCGGTACGGAATCTACGCGCGCGACCGATTGTTCGTCCACCTCGTTACCAATCTCTGCGGCCAGGAGCGACCCACCCACCCACCCACCGCGGCTACACGCGATCGAGCGCGACGCCGTGAACCAGGACCCTGTCCGCCGAGACGGCGCGGCCCGCGACCCCCCTCGCCGCGACCCCGGGCAGTAGCTCGCCCCTCTGCAGCGACGCGGCCAGGTCCCAGCGGCCGGCGCGCGCCAGGTGCTCGGCGAGCAGTGCCCGCTTGTCCGCCCAGGCGGGCAGGCCGCCCCGCCAGTGCGCGAGGGCCGCCATCATCCCCTCCGTGGCGGCGGCGGACGAGGACGGGGTCGGCTCGCCGCCGGCGGCGCCGGGGTCGGTGTCGAAGGAACGGGCGCGCTGCGCCGAGCGGCCCCGGGACTGCAGGGTGGCGCGGCGCAGACGCAGGGAGCCGGCGAGGCGGCGCGAGTCTCGCTCCGAGAGCTCCGACACCAAGCCCAGCCACGCGCCGCCGCTGCCTGCCAAGGGATGGAGGAGAGGGAAGAGTTTCGATTTAAAGCTTTCGTGACTGCAGGGATTCATCTTCTTGGTTCTTTCGGTAAAGTCACGTAGAAGGGAAATAATGAAATAATAAAAATAAAACATAATAAAATAATTCTCACGACGTTTCGGCCACAACGCAAGCAGCCGTCCTCAGGTGAAGACCAGGTCTGTCGGGGAGACAGCGTCTGAAATTTTCAGACGCTGTCTCCCCGACAGACCTGGTCTTCAATTATTTTATAATGTTTTTTTTTATTTCATTATTTCCCTTCTACGTGACTTTACCGAAAGAACCAAGAAGAGAGGGAAGAGCTTTGGATGTCGGTCGGCGCCGGCCGAATGCGCAGAGCCGAGTGGAGTGAGGCCATCCCTTCGACGGAATGAGACGCGTTGTGGGCCCAGCAAGGATGGCGCAGCGGTGACACTTGTGTCTCATGGCAAAAAAGTGCCTGGGTTCGATTCCTGACATGTTTGTTGTCGATTCTCCCCCTGTTATGCATGGAGTTTCCTCCGGGTTGTCCAGTTTTCTCCCACAATAAAAAAAAAACCGATACAATGTAACTGGAATTGGCCAACACATTTCAATGCAGGACCCACCTGCAGGCCAAATCGTGGCTTTCCTGGGTAAAATAAACAATGATTATTAATAATACTATGAAACGACGTTCGCATTTCTGACAAATGTCATCATGTGACTGAGCTCCCAACTTAATAACGAGACATATCGTTGTAAACTGGAAGCATTTGCGGAAGCGCAATTGCTCATCTCTTGTGTAAACAGATAATGAGTCTCAACGGGGCTTTCATGTCTTTCAATAAAGGTCATTGTGGGTTGTTTTTTTTACATTACATATGCCGGTGTGAATTCTTGTAGACCCATCTATAGCGCAGCAATGTACGGTATCAGGGCGTTTACTCGGTGTATCAAAGCATCAATTCGTGGACATTGATAATTATGCTGAACAACACGTGTGCCATTTTTTGACTCCGATGCATTTCTGCGTGGAATCTCTCGCGTTAGAATACTATTGTTCGATTCGCATACATGCCGTTAATTTCATGGGACCGTGTTACGTTACCCATGATCATGTGTTCATCGCAAACGTGAAAGGGAGAATAAATTCTCGAAATCGAAAATCACGTCCCCCCAAATCGTGACAATTTATCACATCACGCGGGGTTTGGTGAGCGTCGCTTGCACCCCGAGCGATTAGTCCGTCATACTCCATGGGCACACGATGTATGTCACTCATTTAAAAAGTGGAAGGAAACTGGAGCACCCTGAGAAAAGCAGTGTGTGCTAAGGAGATCATACTTTAAGACAGTGTGGTTCACAATCCAACTTGCTGTGCCACGGCCTCCCAGCCACCTTACAGCGCAGCAGGTCAGAAAACTTCACCAATCTTGGTGATTCGTCAACCCACGTGTGGATGACAGGCGTGTGTCATCACGACTGACAAATTCGTTTTTTTTAATTGACCGCATAAAACAAAAATTGACACCGTGAAGAGTCTTATCGACACCGGTGGTGCTCATTTCTGCCGGGGCACGTGCCACTATCATGTTGACTCGGGCCACCACGCCGGTGAGTTAGTCATGTTTTTTTTCCAATGCAAACATTTAATCAGCGTGTCTAAACGTGCCCACCAGCCTCCCCACCAGCACTTGCAAATGATGCCACGACACCCCAATACTCAGAGCCTTGCACTTGGTTCCCGATCGCAATACTCGATCAGCTGCAAGATTGCCCTTTATCAAGACTCTCCAAAGACTCACCGCCACCCACCTCGGCCCCTCTCACCTCGCTCTACTCCCACGCTCTCTCTTTTTTTTACGATCAGTGGAAACAAAAAGATGCTCGGTGTATTCGGCACTTTGCTTCGTTCATCATTTCGTAATTTTTTTCTTTCTTACATTTTGAAACTTAGCTTTATGTAAAACCCCCACCTCTCGCTCACTCTCTCGCTCACTCTCTCGCTCACTCTCTGGCCCAGCAATCAAGGCCCTCCGTCAAACAACGCTCAACGGGAAGTCACTCCTCGTTCCCTGCCGCTGCACCGAATGTCTGGAACTCCCCTCGTGCGTCCATCCTCACTGCCGATCGCTCCCCGAATTTAACTCCAGACTCGAAAAGTGCCTTTGTCTTCTCCGCGGGCTATGAGTGAATGCTTCAAGCCCACTCTCCACTGTGGAGTGTTTCCGTGTATCACACTCTTGCCAAACAGCCATCTCGTCACGTTCTCAGCACCGCCCCCGCCAGCATTCTAACCCTCACTCTCTCTTCTCTGGAATACGATTACGAATTCGAAACAAATGTTCAATTCGTCTCAAGTCTGCACGCTTTGCCTATTTCTGCAGCGCCTTGAGATGCGGCAACGTCGAGATGCTTCATACACGAAAATCGCTATTGTAAAAAAGATGCCACCGGTGGCGTGGCGTGTTTGCCACGGGACCTGGTGCAAGGAATCAAATGGGGCCCCGTCCTGTCCAATGTTGTCTCCTGCGCCCATCTGGCCCCTGGGGCCTGGTGCAGCTGCACCGCCTGCACACTCGATAGCTCCTCCTCCTGCTCCCCAGGACACGATCTGCGGAGAGGGACACGGCGCTGTAGGGAACGGCAGCGAGGCACGCACCGTCTTGATCCAAGCTCAGCATCCTGGAGCTCGCGGGGCGGCTGAGCAGTCGTTCTTTCTGTAACGACAACAACGACGACAACAATAACAACATGTCGCTTGGGAAGGCTTTGAAGGTCACGGGGAATCTGCCCTTTCGCTGCCCTTTAATAGCACACATTATTCCCGGCGATTTGGCAGCAGATCACGGTGCAAAGGAGTTGTGAATGTCATCATCGTCCTAAGTGTCATCATCATCATTAGTGTCATCATCATTAGTGTCATCTTAATCATTAGTGTCATCATCATCAGTGTCATCATCATCATCAGTGTCATCATCATCATCAGTGTCGTCATCATCATCATGACCATCTCCATCGTCGATATATTGTCACCAGCAACCATGATAGATTCACTCACGGTCCTACAATGCCATTTATTTCGGGAAGCTTCACTGAGTGACAAATTAATTTTTTTCAGAGTTTAACCACCCACGATTAAACTGGGTGCTCGTGATATGTTTAATAATAATCATCATCATCATCGCCCTGTGCTGGTCTTGCTAAGCGGGAGGGAGGGAGGGAGGGAGGGGAGGGTGGGAGGGGAGGAGGGAGGGAGGGAGGGAGGGAGGGAGGGAGGGAAGGGAGGGGAGGGAGGGGAGGGAGGGAGGGAGGAGGGAGGAGGGGAGGGAGGTCAGGCAGGTGCCTTCGCCGCTATGGTGCTGGTAGCGCAGCAGCGGGGGATCTGGTGATGGGTTTTTGAGGGTGATTTGTTTTCTTGTTGGTGTCTATGAACACAGTAACACACAATGGGACTAATGTTACACGGGAAACCCGCGTTATATTTTTGATTAAAAAAATGGAGCACATAAGCAAGCAAAAAAAATACAAAAAAACGACATGATGAACGAAGTAAAGTGCCGAAAGACCGAGCATCTTTCTCGTCTGATCGCAAAAAAAAGGAGGGAGGAGGGGGGGGCCTTGAGTCCACCACCGTCGAGTCCAGTCAGGGGCCACTTGTCGGCAAAGTACAACGCGGTCTGCCACTGTGCCACATGGACTCGCTTAGGCGGGGCGAGTGGATGGTCTCGGGTCCAGTCACCATGGGACTGCACAGAGAAAACCGATCGCATTGAATCCGCGTGTTTTTAAATCCTTTATATTAACTTCGCTTGCTTGCTTACGACCGTGCAAATCTTTCGGTTGTTTTTTAACCCACTTCCCGTGATCCAATCGAGCCGACATTTTCCACACAGACTCGTTGTGCGTGACAATTAATGTTCGTTAAAAAACAATTCCCAAAATTTTACACTTTTTAGGACAAAAATATTATATTTAATTACAAATTGCTTAATGGTGCAATGCAATCATCTGACCCATAGGTGGCAGCCATCTCAAGCCAGAGGACGAGAGGACTCTAGCCGCCACGCATATAAAGGATTTATAGTGAAAAACTTTGTTTTTACGGGTTATGCTTGTTTTCCACGTAACCTGGCAATGACTGTCGGCCTGAGAATGAAAAATCTCAGTTCGACCACCATGCGACAGACATTTGTCCGTGCGCGCGGACCATGTGGCGAATTGCGGTGGCCGCAGTGTGGATACGAGGGCACTTGAAAGAATCTCTCTGATGTTTCCTTCCACGGGGATCTTCCCGCCACGCTGCGCTGCGCTGCTTTAGCAAGAGTCCCAAATGACCTCTCCCACTCGAGGCGAGACACAGTTAGCGCAACCTGAACGACGCTAGGCAAAGGGTAAACAGATATTTCAACTGCCGCACGAATATATTTCTCGACGAAATCATAATTTACAGCTTTTTTAATTTGCCAATCTGCTGCTAGGTCTTCGCACGCCACGTTGGTCATGGGGGGTTGTTTACCCATATTTCACCATGGGGGCCAACGTTTGGGAGTGAAGGGGGGGGGGTTCCCAGGATCGGTTCAGCTGTCACTCGCCGCCAATTTTAGCCGAGTCTGCGGGTTCATAGCCACGTACCAAGGGCCACGCATTTAGCGAATTACGTTGAGTGTAAATTTCGATTTAAAGCTTTCGTGACTGCAGGGATTCATCTTCTTGGTTCTTTCGGTGATGTCACGTAGAATGGAAATAATAAAATAATAAAAATAATATTATTCTCACGACGTTTCGGCCACAACGCAAGCAGCCGTCCTCAGGTGAAGAGCAGGTCTGTCAGACTCTGTCTTCTCGACAGACCTGTTCTTCACCTGAGGACGGCTGCTAGCGTTGTGGCCGAAACGTCGTGAGAATTATTTTATTATGTTTTATTTTTATTATTTTATTATTTCCATTCTACGTGACTTTACCAAAAGAACCAAGAAGATACGTTGCGTGTGTTTGCGCGAAGCATTCTGTGCGCCTGTGCAATCGGCAGCAAACTCTTCTGCAATCCGGCCAGCAGCCCCGAGACGCCCAATCTTGTATACATGCCGGACAATGTCCGTGCATGTTTGGTCAGGTGCATTGCATACATTCTAAGCACTTCAAAAGAAATCGGTGGAGATGGGGGGGTTCTATGGGGGTGGGGGGGGGGTGTTATAAAGAGTGGGCTCACCCCACAGATAGTGAATGCGTGCTCTTTCAACATCGCTCCTTCAAAGCCGCTGCAAGAGCACACGTCCCTGGCGGGTCAAACACACAAAGTGAGTGCATTAGCGCCTCTTTACCTTTGCCAGTGTGGCCACGCCACCCGGAACGTCACGCACGGCGCGTGTTCTCTCTCTCTCTCTCGCTCTCTCGTTAGATCTCGGCGGCTAAGCGGGACTCAGCCTGGACAAGCGCTCGGAGCCGTGCGTGCGCGTGCGTGCATACGGCAGGTGTGTTACAGGCTGCCGCGCGGTGTTGTGCCACTCGGCGGGCAGAGGAGAGGGGGGGGGCAGCAGAGAGGGGGGTCAGCAGAGAGGGGGGCAGCAGAGAGGGGGGCAGCAGAGAGGGGGGCAGCAGAGAGGGGGGCAGCAGAGAGGGGGGCAGCGGAGAAGGGGGCAGCAGAGAGGGGGGCAGCAGAGAGGGGGGCAGCAGAGAGGGGGGCAGCGGAGAGGGGGGCAGCAGAGAGGGGGGCAGCAGAGAGGGGGGGGCAGCAGAGAGGGGGGCAGCAGAGAGGGGGGCAGCGGAGAGGGGGGGGCAGCGGAGAGGGGGGGCAGCGGAGAAGGGGGGCAGCAGAGAGGGGGGGCAGCAGAGAGGGGGGGCAGCAGAGAGGGGGCAGCAGAGAGGGGGGGCAGCAGAGGGGAGGGGCAGCAGAGAGGAGGGGCAGCAGAGAGGGGGGGCAGCAGAGAGGGGGGGCAGCAGAGAGGGGGGGCAGCAGAGAGGGGGCAGCAGAGAGGGGGCAGCAGAGAGGGGGGGCAGCAGAGAGGGGGGGCAGCAGAGAGGGGGGGCAGCAGAGAGGGGGCAGCAGAGAGGGGGCAGCAGAGAGGGGGGGCAGCAGAGAGGGGGGGCAGCAGAGAGGGGGGGCAGCAGAGAGGGGGGCAGCGGAGAGGGGGGGTCAGCGGAGAGGGGGGCAGCAGAGAGGAGGGGCAGCAGAGAGGGGGCAGCAGAGAGGGGGGCAGCAGAGAGGGGGGCAGCGGAGAAGGGGGGCAGCAGAGAGGGGGCAGCAGAGAGGGGGGGCAGCAGAGAGGGGGGCAGCAGAGAGGGGGGGCAGCAGAGAGGGGGGCAGCAGAGAGGGGGGGCAGCAGAGAGAGGGGCAGCAGAGAGGGGGCAGCAGAGAGGGGGGCAGCGGAGAGGGGGGAGCAGCAGAGAGGGGGGCAGCAGAGAGGGGGGGCAGCAGAGAGGGGGGGCAGCAGAGAGGGGGGGCAGCGGAGAGGGGGGCAGAGGAGAGGGGGGCAGCAGAGAGGGGGGGCAGCAGAGAGGGGGGGCAGCAGAGAGGGTGGCAGCAGAGAGGGTGGCAGCAGAGAGGGGTCAGCGGAGAGGGGGGGCAGCGGAGAGGGGGGCAGCGTGTTGGAGTCGCGTCGCTGTGCCGCTTCATTCCGTGCATCTCGCGCCACCGCCGGCGATGACCAGCGTGGTGAAGTCCAGACGAAAACAAAAAAAGCCATGTCCCCTCACCCCCCCCCCCGCCTTCCACCTTGCCACCGCCACCTCCAAGATTCACACGGTGTAGGGAAGCTACTCGTCCAGCAGCGGATTTCCAAAAGGGCTGTAACGTGTGCATGTGCATGAATCCTGATGCTGACAATTACAAAGGCAAACATTCTCGTGCAACTGTTTGGGCTTTTTGTCGTCTCTGAATGTTCTTGTGACACAGCTGATTAAGTGCAGTGTAAATAAAAGATCCAATTTCGTGATGCGCTTCTGAATTGCCTTCATTGTTATTCCATTGCCGTGGAATCGCCACGCGTCCGCTTGGGGGAGGCCTTCATTCAGCAGCTGATTGATCGTGGCTGACGATGACGATTAGATATCCGCCAAAGCTTTCGACAAAACAGACAACAATGTTCCCATTTGTGAGAGTAAAGCCCAAATGAAACAAGAGGTGTTTTTGACACGCGACAACCGCGTGCACGCATTGCACACCACGCACGCACGCGTGTACCTTTGGCAAGGCGAGCGGCAGCCTGCAGCACGCGAGGCTGCCGTCGTGGGCCGCGGGCCACTCCCCGGCCTCGATCTGTCCGCGGTCCCTGCGGAAGAAGAGCGCCGCGCCCTTGTAGTGCGGCGAGCTGCGGTTGGCGAACTCGTCGCGCGCGCTCAGCTCCAGCAGCGCAGCGGAGCGCCTCTGCGCGTGGAACGTGAGCGTGGCGCACGCGGAGTCTGGCGCGGCCCCCGCCACGCCCGGGACGGCCGCCGCCACGTTCCCCGTGACCTTCGCCACGAGCTGCTCGCCCTCCCGCATGGTGAAGACGGAGGTCAGGGACGGAGCGCCGTCGTAGCCCTCCTCGGCCAGGCGCTCCGACTCGCGGTCGGCGTCGCGCGCGGCGACGAGACGCAGGCCGAGGCGGCGGGGGTCGGAGGCCCGGCACCGCGCCACGAGGCAGCACGCGGTGGACGACAGCGCCGCCTCGACGCCGCGGGCAAAGCGGGCGAGGAGAGCCACGTCGACGGGCGAAGAGACGCGCGCAACCAGCAGCCTGGGCGGGAGGTGACAACGGCGGGTCGCTGTGCGTTCGTCGCGAGCTGCGATCGTCGTCGTCAGAATTAGTCACCGGCTAACCACGGCGGTCGCTTCCCGATGGCAGGGCGGTTTGAAACAAATTCGTCGCCCTCGTCGCTTGCGAATGCGTGACGTTCGTCGCGTGACCGACCGCACGTGGTGACTAACACCGCGGGTACGGACAGCGGTAATGTCAAGCGGCAGCCGATGCCATCGAATGAACGGTCAAACTCAACCCACGGTTATAATGTTCCGCCACTTGCTCTTTAAATGCCATATGAGGGAGGTAACCCACCAACATCACGGTCGTCATCATCATCGGTACGAATATTGTCAAAATCAGATATCTGAACTTAAATAAATGTAACGTGCGTCTACATAAACACAGAGGGGAAAAAAATCATCGAACGCGGCAGATTGTTACACGACGAAGTGTGGGTCTTAGGAGCGAGGCTGCTGACAGCTCCGTCATGCTCCAGGAAGTCGCTGATGCGACAGCTTCCAGAACTGTCAACGATCCGTGAAGCCCTCTCGACACAAAGCAGCCTGGTTAAACGCAGGATGGATCCTAGTCAGGATGGTCAGACCGGCGCAGGTGTCGCCGTAAAGCAAGGCCGTAGCCATGGAGTCAACATTGGGGGGGACCAAATCTTCCAGGGGATCTGGGGGTCATCCCCCCCCCCCCCCCCCCCCAGAAAAAAAAATCTAAATTCGAAAACGAATTTCCTGCCTAAAATATAAAAAAAATTCACTAACATAGGATTGATTTTTTTTTCAACTATAATGTCTAATAGTGTATTGTATTACATTGCTCTGTTTTTTTCTTTTAAACATTTTCTTGTTTCATTGTATGCAATGGCAGAGATTAGGGATTTATAAAGTACAACCTATTTTATAGCAATATATTGGGGGGGACATTTTGAGCATATTTTAATATTATATTATAATTACGGCCTTGCCGTAATGGGGTTAGCGTTTTGCAAGCATAAAGAGAAGCCAGCTTCCACACAGCGTTACGCAGCCAATGAGAAGACAATGCTGCTCAACTGACTTGAAGTGAGACCTCCACTGACAAACCGGGACTGGTCATCACCATTCAGGTATGGGAACCGCTCTGCTCTTTCCCCAAATGCCCCATAGCTCGCTTATTTGCCCCACTAAAACCCCACTAAATATACATAACGAATAAACACTCACTGAGATGACTGAGACGACTGGCTGATGCACCACCTGTGCCCCCTACTGTGCCAACTTGCTGTGCTTTAGCAACCCGGCGCTGTTCGCAATGCGCACATGCACACACACACACAGGTGGGGGGGGTGGGCACCTGCGCACGGGCGAGTCGAGCTCCAGGGTGACCAACCCCTTGTGCAGGTTGCGCAGCGACGCGCAGTCCTGCACCTCCCACTCGGGCGGCGCCGTGGGCTCGGCGCTGCGCTGCACCAACAGGCGGAGGTCGCCACCTCCGTGCTCTCTGCTCCGCGAGCTCGCCGATCTGCGTGAACCCACGGGCGGAATAATCCGGCTCACAGAGTGGTCATTCACACTGCAGGAGTCCGACAAACTATGAGGCTCTTCTAGATTTGAAGCTTTCGTGACTGCGAGGATTCATATTGTTAGTTTTTTTTCCGGTAAAATCACGTGATCTTCTTGGTTCTTTCGGTAAAGTCACGTAGAAGGAAAATAATAAAATAAAAATAAAACATAATACAATAATATTATAATATAATATTATTGTATTATGTTTTATTTTTATTAAAACATAATAAAATTATATTATAATATATTATTGTATTGTGTTTTATTTTTATTATATTATAATATTATTTTATTATGTTTTATTTTTATTATTTTATTATTTTCCTTCTACGTGACTTTACCGAAAGAACCAAGAAGATGAATCCCTGCAGTCACGAAAGCTTTAAATCGAAAAAAGTCACGTGACTTTACCGAAAAAACTTAACAGTAAGAAAGACAAATCAGCTCTCCGCTTTTATTTTTACGTCGTGTTTAAAGACTCGCAAAGGCTTCCGAGAACCCCTCCGTGCATAATTTAGAGACCCTTCAATCAATCCCTCGGGGCAATCATGGAAATGTCTTCACGTACACCAGCAGTGGGGATTAAAACATTGGACTGACATGTTCTTAATCTCATCCGTGAAATTGTCAATAGATCCGAAGGTTATTTTTGAGCAGGGTCCTAACTGTGGATGCTTGGCCAGACGCTCAGCGAACCATCGTCGTTACCAAACCTGGTCTTGAACTTTATTCTTCTTGGTTCTTTCGGTAAAGTCACGTAGAATGGAAATTAAAAAATAATAAAAAATAAAACATATTAAAATCATTCTCACGACTTATCGGCCACAACGCAAACTGCCGTCATCAGGTGAAAAACAGGTCTGTCGGAAAGACAGCGTCTGAATGACAGACCTGTTCTTCACCTGAGGACGGAAAATCCACGCGACCACGATTCTAAATGTGGAGGGGAAAAAACACACGGGGGGAGAGACATGCAACTACAAATAAACAGCAGGCGTCAGGCTCGAGATCGAAACCACGACCTCCTGTAGACCAGGCGAGGCAGTTAACATCCTGCTGGCTGCGCTCATCAAACCGAAGAAACACGGGGAGAGAGACACGCAAACTCCAAATACACAGCAGGCGTCAGGGTCGGCATCGAACCCACGATCTCCTGCATACCACGCGAGGCAGTTAACATCTCCTAGCCACCGTGGCGGACATACCTGGTGGCCCCGGCCGTGTGAGCGCGATCCACCGGGTCGCGGGTGCCAGCGCGGTTTGGCGGCGCCGGTCCCCGCCCGTCCGCCCCGGTCCCCGTGGGCTTGTGCTCAGGGGCCGGCGGGCAGGGCAGGGTGATGGCCACGGGCCTGCGGAAGGCCTGGCCCAACGGGTAAGCCAAGTGCAGCAGCGGGCTGCAGCTGGCAACGGCCCGGAGGGCAGAGTCGCCCTCCCGCGCTGCCGCCAGAGCCGCCGTTTCCACCGGTTGAATCTGTTCGGCAATTGTTATTGTTCGGACATCGTCCATGAAAGCGCGCACACACACACGCGCGCACACACGCGCGCACACACGCGCGCGCACACACACACACGCGCACACACACGCGCGCGCGCACACAAACCGACGGATCAGTACGGCCACCGTCAAAACATTACCGCGCACACCCACTGATCTTGAGTTGTATCCATGGGTGGAAGGTTGCGAGTTCAGATTCTGGGTCGAGGGTCGACTCTACCCCATCGCTCCTTTGAGGGCCAGCGGGGGGGGGGGGGAATAAATGAATACCACTTTGTGGGGAAGTCAACAGTGCTTGTCTCATGTGTAATGGCTAGACTCTGCCCCGCCATACGAATGGGGAATTTCCACCGCTGGCTCAGGGCCATAAACGGGAGATGTGGCACCGATGCCTTAATGCACATTGGGGCAAAGAAATCACTTTGATTGCTTTGCAGTGGCAAGTGAAGCGTCTTCAAAGCGTGAAGGGAACACGAAGGGAAGGATGGTAATTGGCAGCACTCCTGGGTCCCCTAAGCCGCGCTCCCAAGAAGGATTATCAGGCAAAGGGGAGAAACAGCCACGTGTATAGGACAAAGGGAGACTGACTTAAAATCAAACACCTTCTGTTTATCAGCTGTAATTAGGGTTACCACTGCAAAGGGAAGTACACAACCACAACGCGAAACGCACGCCGCTGCCCTCGGAGGATTGTTACATGACCAAGAGATTTGAGGCTGAGTCGATCTCGGGGAGACTCAGGACCGGCTCAAATCATCGTTACTGGTGTTGGGTGTCCGTGAGCGGAATTTGAACGCGGGTCCGTCGGGTTCGCAGTGCAGCGCGCTAACCACTGCACCACCGCTCCCCCTTCACCTACAACAAGCGCTGTTCGCCACCATGTGGAAAGTACCCACATGGCAAATTTCCAGTTTGTTGCATGTCGGGAAGTACGCTAAACATTTTGAACAGACACACAGATTCACAAGTTTGCCTTTTATGAAAATGGAGATAGCCCTGTGAGCCATGCGGCTCTTGACTCGGGTGCAACCGCAACAAACAAAAACATGAACAAGGAACATCTTAAAGTGACTACGCGCAACAGAAAAATGCAGGAAAAAACAGCAAAGTCTTCCAGAAAAAGCACGTATATTCACGTGGCCCTAAGGTGCACATGGCCTGGCACAAGCGTCGTGGTGACGTCACCGCCACTTAGTGGCGAATGGCGGTTGTTGTTGTGGTGTGTGTGCGTAATGTGTGTGTGGTGTGGTGGGTGTGTGTGGTGTGTGTGTGGTGTGTGTGTGTGGTGTGTGTGGTGTGTGGTGTGTGTGTGTGTTGTGTGGTGTGTGTGTGTGGTGTGTGTGGTGTGGTGTGTGTATGTGGTGTGTGGTGTGGTGTATGTGTGTGGTGTGTGTGTGGTGTATGTGGTGTGTGTGTGGTGTATGTGTGTGGTGTATGTGGTGTGTGTGGTGTGTGTGTGTGGTGTGTGTGTGATGTGTGTGGTGTGTGTGGTGTGTGTGTGTGGTGTGTGTGTGTGTGTGGTGTGTGTGTGGTGTGTGTATGTGGTGTGTGGCGTGTGTGTGGTGTGTGTGTGTGTGTGAGTGGTGTGTGTGGTGTGTGTGTGGTGTGTATGTGGTACGGCGTGTGTGTGGTGTGTGTGTGGTGTGTGTGTGGTGTGTATGTGTGTGGTGTGTGTATGTGGTATGTGTGTGTGGTGTGTGTGTGGTGTGTATGTGTGTGGTGTGTGTATGTGGTATGTGTGTGTGGTGTGTGTGTGGGTGTCGTGTGTGGTGTGTGTATGTGGGGTGTGTGTGGTGTGTATGTGTGTGGTGTGTGTGGTGTGGATGTGGTGAGTATGTATATATGTGTGTGTGTGGTGTGTGTGTGGTGTGTGTGATGTGTGCGTGTTTGTGGTGTGGGGTGTATGTGTGTGTGGTGTGTGTGTGTGGTGTGTGGTGTGTGTGTAGTGTGTGTATGGGGTGTGCGTGGTTTATGTGGTGTATGTGGTGTGTGTGCGGTGTGTGGTGTGTTTGTGTGGTGTATGTGGTGTATGTGGTGTGTATGTATATGTGTGTATGTATATGTGTGTGTGTGGTGTGGTGTGCCCACCTTGTGCCTGGCCACGACGTTCATGGCGAAGGTGCCGGGCGGGTAGGCGGCGGTGATGCGCCCGTCCACGGCGGAGCGGTGCAGCGCGCCGCGCCTCGGCACGTCCACGAGCTCGGCGCGCGGCCGCGACACCACGGCCAGGAGGCCCAGGCCGTAGCACCGCGCCTCGGCGCAGCTCACCTGGACAACGAGGCCACGGGCGAGGGGGGTGGCGAGGGAAGAGCGGCATTGACGAGCGGTGACAGCGGCGGCAGAATAAGAAGAAGCAGCTGTAGCGGAAGATGCAGCAGCATCTGTAGCGGCTGCAGCTGGAGAAGCAGCAGCTGTAGCTGTAACAGCTGCAGCTGCAGGAAGTAGCAGCAGCAGTAGCAAGTGCAGGAGTAGCAGAAGCTGCAGCTGTAGCAGCAGCAGCTGTAGCTGCAGCTGCAGGAGTAGTAGCAGCTGTAACAGCAGTAGCTGCAGCTGCAGGAGTAGCAGCAGCAGCAGGTGCAGGAGTAGCAGCTGTTGTAGAAGCAGCTGCAGCAGCTGCAGCTGCAGGAGTAACAGCAGCTGTAGCAGGTGCAGGAGTAGCAGCATCTGTAGCTGCAGCAGTAGCAGCAGCAGCTGTAGAAGCAGCAGCTGTAGCTGCAGCTGCAGGAGTAGCAGCAGCTGTAACAGCAGTAGCTGCTGCTGCATGAGTAGCAGCAGCTGTATCTGCAGCAGCAGCAGCTGCAGCTGCAGCAGCTGTAGCTGCAGGAGTAGCAGCAGCTGTAGCTGCTGCAGCTGTAGAAGCAGCAGTTGTAGCAGAAGCAGCAGCAGCAAACGCGACTGTGGCAGAAGCAACAGAAGCAGTTGTCGAAGCAGGATCAGCAGGAGCAGAAACAGTTGTTGCAGAAGCAGCAGATGAAATAGCAGGTAGCAGTCGTAGCGGAAGCAGCAGTTGTTGCAGTAGCAAGCAGCAGCAGAAGAAGCGGCAGTCGCAGAAACAACAGCGGCAGCAGCAGAATGATCAACAGCAGGAGAATGATCAACATCAGCAGAATGATCAACAGCAGCAGAAAAAGAATCGGCAGTAGCACAGCTGCCAATGGCATCGTCTCCCGGCAGTCGTATAGCAGTGTGTTTCTGCCACTGTGTTCCTGTGGACTCAAGGGCGGGATTATCAATTAATCCACGGGCGGATTATTGGGGCTGCGGATTGATCATGTTCGCGAAGGTGTAAACGAAACATGAAATTGAGGGATGTTTTTTTTGGCACTGAACAGAAATCCAGTGGAAATCAAGACAACCCGCACAATTGATGGAGGCACGTTTCATTTGCCATCAGTTATCGCCATTGCTACCTCGAGGCATGTTGTGCTTATGCAAGTCAAATAATTGAATAATGAATCACAGGCCAATTTGTCACGCTCGTTTTCCATATGTGTCAGTTTCCACTCACGTGATGCAAAATAAGGACTCGTTCTCTTTGCAAAACGCGGGGGCCCTTGACTGGTTTTATATTCAGCTCATCGATTGAAGGCTTAATTACCGGTGTGCTTAAAACCCGCCAGCTCGAGCAATGAAGCCAGTTCTAACCTCCTAGGACAGGGGTCGGCAACCTACGGCTCCGGAGCCGCATGCGGCTCTTTACGGGCTGCTTCTTGACGATATGTACGTATGTACAGTATGTACTCAGATGCATTTCGGCTCTTGAAATACTGAATTTTGTACCGAATTGGAAAGAAATGGCTCTTCTTGTTATTTTGGTTGCCGACCCCTGTCCTAGGATAATCTACTGCGGCTCATCTCCAACTCGCGAACATCTCGGCAGTGTCTCGGCTGATGTGCCGAGAGGAGGGACTGGGAATTAATTACTGGCATCATTTAAAAAAAATGAAGCGTACGTTGTCATTAAATGTATCATTATCACGCCACGTTACCCGCGCTCCAGATACGGTTTTGTGTGTTTGAGTAATTTACACACCAATTTAGTTGCTGTGTGAGTAACGTGCATGTCCAGGGGGTTAAAATGCGTTATTACAACCGCTCCACCCTTGTAGTGTTATGTAAATGTAATTTAGACTCACGGAGTATATCGTTGTTTGCAATATGCATGTTGAACTTCTCTCGCACAGAACGTAGCCAACCGTGCGAAATGGGCCGGATAATCCCCAATCGCCGGAAAGTCCCTTCCCCTGAATCATCCCCGTCCCGGAGCCGGCTTGATTCCACTCTCCGTTCGCCGTGACCGCTCTCAACCGCTGCACCCGCCGCACCCTATCCCTCTCGAGCCGCCGATTTGCCCGTCGGCGATTCGTGCAGGCGGGGGTCACCTTGCGTCCCTCGTGTGACAATTCCACCGTCACCGACGCCAGCAGGTCCCACCGCAGCCCGTCCGGTGAGACGCGCAGGGCGACGTCGCGGCTCGCCCCGCGGTAACGCGCCGAGTACGGCACGGCCACGGTGATCGGAGAGGGCAGCTTGATCCGGGAGTCGAGGCAGCGAACGCTCACCACGTGACTAACGAGCTCCTCGCCGTCATCGGCCGCCACCGCCAGCGGGCTGTAGTGGCCCGCGAGCTCGCACGCCAGCTTGTTGGCCACGAAGAACGGAGCCGTCGCGTAGCACGCCAGCTCGGGTTCGAGCCCGGGTTCCGGCGCTGCGAGCAGCCTGCGTTGCGGGGTGGGTGGACAGGTTTGAGAAGAGCAGGCCAGGGGCAGCGATTCGTTTCAGCTGGGACGTTCTCTGGAGAGCTGCTCCGGGATTTATTTTGGCACCCCCGCTACCGATTCTCCTACGCAATTGTTTTTTTTTTTTACATAGGACGGTTATGGATGGGCGTACCTTGTATTCTAGTGGTAGTGCCTTACACCGATAATCTCCCACTCCGAGCCAGCCTCGGCAGCGTTGCGGAATATATCGAGTGAGAAATTAAGCCCTGGGCAGATGTCAAAACGAGGTCAATTCAACTGAAATGCCTTAATGCTCAAAGAGCCAGACTATCACATCTTTATCATTTGGCATTATCATCATCATCATCATCAGCTGTGTAACGATGTATTTCGAATCGAAGTTTATTGCTCAGTAATGCCGTGTGTAACAATCGATTTGATGTAATATATTGTAAGTGATGGGTTCACATTTCTTGTACAGCCACTAGAGGCCGCTACATTCACTACATTCACCACGTTAAACGGAAAAAATTAACCCGTAAAAACAAGTTTTTCACTATAAATCCTTTATATGCGTGGCGGCTAGAGTCCTCTCGTCCTCTGGCTTGAGATGGCTGCCACCTATGGGTCAGATGATTGCCTGCCACCATTAAGCAATTGGTAATTAAATATAATTTTTTTTCCTAAAAAGTGTAAAGTTATGGAAAAAAATTTCCACGAAAATAAATTGTCACGGACAACGAGTCTGTGTGCAAAATATCAGCTCGATTGGATCACGGGAAGTGGGTTAAAAAACGACCGAAAGATTTGCACGGTCGTAAGCGCGCAAGCAAGCAAGTGAACTTAATATAAAGGATTTAAAAAGAATGCGGTAGATTGTTTACGGCATTCTCTAAGTTGAGAAGTGGGAAGAGAACCTGGAAGGGAGTTAAGAGTGTGATGAGAGGAAAGGGGTAGGGGAGTGATCGGGCAGAGTTGAGTGCGATGAGAAGAACGAGGTCAGAGAGTACATGGATGGCAGTCAAAAAAGTTAAGAATCAATTGTAATCGATGAAACGCTCCACTCACGCTCGCCTGCACCACCCGTTGGCCAATGTCTCATAGCCGTGGTCACCGCGGGGAGTCGCCGCGTCCCCCACCTCATCCCCGCGCGGAGATGTATCCAGAATCCTGTCGAGGTGCCTTGCATCCCCAGGCCCTGCCGAGAGCTGCCGTGCTGCGTCTGCCTGGCTTTCAGGGGGACAGCAAGCGCCGTTGTCACCTCCATTCTCATGACTCCTCGCGTCTCCAGATTTTGGATCAAGTGAGGTGATGGATAATGACGACGACGATGATGAAGTGGGCGCCGGTTCTGTGGCATCTATCTCGGCAGGAATACTCGTCGCTCTCTGCGCCTCTCCGTCGTGTGTACAATCTCCTCCGCCTCTGTCCGCGGGGGATCCTTCTCCGCGATGGGAGACGTCCTCTCGGCTCCGAATTGCGACTCCTCCGCCCGACGCCAGGGACTTCTCCGCAGGGTACTCCACCTCGCCCGCGCCATTCTCTGCGCGTCCCCGTGCCGTGTCGTTCCCGACGGTGGACGACTTTTCTCCTGCTCCCACCAAGTTATCGGCAGCGTCCAGAGGAAACCCGTTCGAATGGGACAGCCGCGTGCCGCCTTCCTTCTCGATCCGTCCTCCTTCCTCCTCGTCCTCCTCGTGGTTGTCTCGCTCCACGGGCAATGTTGTTCTCCCTCCACCTTGTTTCTCGTCGACTTTGTCGGGGCAGCGCGCGTCTCGAACGTTCCACGCCGCGTCCAAGCGCGAGGCCGCGTCTCCAAGGGCTTCGGCCAGCGAGCTCAGGTAGCCCTGGTGTCTGGCGAAATCTTCACGCGCGGCAGACGAGAGAACAACCCGGATTTGAAACGCCAAGGTTTCGACCAAAAATCGCACGTGGTTGACCGTCTCCCTACTCTTAGTTCTTTCGGTAAAGTCACGTAGGTAAAAAATGAAATTAAAATTAATAAAAATAAAACAATAAAATCACGACGTTTCGGAGGCAACACAAGCCTCCGTCATCAGGTGGGAACGTCACAGCCAGATTTGCTGCATCACCTGACGACGGAGGCTTGTGTTGCCTCCGAAACGTCGTGATTTTGTTGTTTTATTTTATTATTTTTTATTAAATTTTTTACCTACGTGACTTTACCGAATGAACTAAGAGTATGAATCCTTGCAGTCACGAAAACTTCAAATCTGGCGTCTCCCTGTTTGGGGAAATGGATGGTTGGGCCCCGTGTTTACTTTTTGCAATATCCGCCGTGAGTGATCCGATGTATGCGAAACTATTATCATGCGATGGAAATGTGGCCTGATAAAACGTTTAAATGGGACCGCATCTCTAGACGCCCTTGCTGGGGAGTTGTAATGGTGTCCGCTGTCATTGTCACCACCCATCGCGAGCATTCTCAACATCAATTGTAATAATCATTGTTAATATCAAAAATACAAAGACAAAGATCCCCGTATAGCCTTAACAGACTGCTGGGTAAAGTGCTGTGAGCGAGCGCCTATGCACGGTATACGAAGGAGGGGTGGCTAAGACCACCTCCGGCCGCCTTTGTCTCCCAAGTAGCGACGTTTACACACCGCACCAGGTACTCATTTGTGAATATCACCACCACCATCATCAACATCACCACGATCTTCACACCGCGCCTTCACAACACGCCTCACGCTCTTCGTGACGTATCGTGATCATCGTCATCGCAGTTTGTATGAAACATAAAACATGCGTGAATTATCATTTAAACGTGTGTACGTTAGCGGTTGTAATATATGGATCAGATGCGTTGGACATTGACGATAGAAATATGTGAACAGGCTGAGAAAGTGCGCAAAGGGGCGTAACAAAGGTGCACGATTTGACGTCCACTACACAAAGAGGAACTCGTGGAGTTAGAGGCCGTACACAAGTCACAGACTTATTGACCGTTCAACAAACTGAAGTGGGGCCTTGGGCAGGACTTGGGGTTACGGTATACCGCTCGAAGAGACGGCGGGACTTGGCCGAGAGTGACAACGGAGTGGCAGCCAAACGGAGAGGGGAGGGAGGCGCACGAGAGAACATCGTGACGCGGAGATGAAGCAATGGGCTCGGCTCGTGTCCGGGCACCACGTGGATCGTTGCATCGCGAAATCGCGAGAGACCACTTGGGGAGGGCCTTCATCCAGCATTGAGGAGCACACGGCTGATAATGATGATGGCGCAAACACTCTATGGACAACGACTCTGACAAGCTCTCACCATCGGTGCCGTTCGCTGTCCGCTCCTCTCGAGGGACTTGTGCCATGAGGTTCAGGGCGCGCTCCAGGGCCCCCCTGCACCGCTCCACGTGGCCACGCAAGGCCTCCGCGTCCCACCGAGCCAATGCGACCAGGGTGGCCCCCATGCCGAACAGCCCGGGCGGCACTCGGCCCGGGTGGGCCCGCTCCTCTGCGGCCAGGAACCGCTCCAGCGCGTCCCCGTCATCGCCGCCACGATCCGACGCAGGGGATGGTTCCATCGCGCGTATGCTGTAGTGCGCGCGTGTGTGTGTGATAGCACTTGCCCCAACCGTCTGTGTAGACTGTACGGGTGGTCTTTGTCTTTTCGCGTGCGCTCGCTTGTGTCTGTGCGTCGTAATGCGTCTTACGCGCAAACGAAGGCGTCGTTAAGTGTACGTACGTGTCTTTGTTTACACGCGTGCGTAGGTATGCACGCGTGTGTACGCATGTGTGTGTGCGCACACGTGTCCGTATGTACGTGCGTGCGTGTGTTCACGCCGTGTGTACTCGTGTGTGTACACACGCGTGTGTCTACAGACGCGTGTGTGTGTGTGTACGTGTCACCCTACCGCCTTCTCCTAACGCCTTGCCAACCTCGAATGCTGCTCGCCAACAGATCTTGCTCCCGGCAGTCAATACGCGTATTTGAGTTATCTTAAAGTTATATTTTCTTACGACATTCACTTAAATATTAAAGTTGTCCGCAAATGTATGCAAATACAAAAGCGGTTTTTTTTTTACCAGTGAACTTCTGTCTCAAAACGTGCGGCAGTTTAGGTGCACTGTTGTTATGTACTTACTGTGTTACAATACAAAACGAACTCGATAAAAACATTCAACAGTGTGATTTCGCTAACAGCGCAAACTAAAATCAAATCGTCCGTTCAACAACAAAAAAACCCCGATTACAAACGACCCAAAGATATCCCCAACAACTCAGTCAAAACGTTAAACTCGCCAACAACTAAAGACGCGTGCGGACACGCGTAAATCACCGCAGATCGTGACTTACGACGAAGACCGATCGATCATCGACACGCGAGTTGTTCCATGCTCTGCGTTGTCGTCTCCCGGACAGTCCGTGACTCAGGTGAAACTCAGGTGGGGGGGGGGGGGGGGGCGCACAGGTGGTCTGCGCGAGACCCCGTGAGCTCAGTGGGGGAAGTCACAGCCAGTTGTGTACCTTGGCCCATTTTTTTTTGCTTTCAGACACTCATTCAACCCCACGTGAGTTGTGGAGAGTGGGAGGGGGGGCAGTATTGGTAGTGTTGGGGATAGGGAGGGAGGGAGGGGGTGAGAGGGGTAGGGTGGTGGTGTTGGGGGTAGATGAGAGGGGTAGGGTGGTGGTGCTGGGGTAGATGAGAGGGGTAGGGTGGTGGTGTTGGGGGTAGATGATAGGGGTAGGGTGGTGGTGTTGGTGGTAGATGAGAGGGGTAGGGTGGTGGTTTTGGGGTAGATGAGAGGGCTAGGGGTGATGGTGTTGGGGTAGATGAGAGGGGTAGGATGGTAGTGTTAGGGTAGATGAGAGGGGTAGGGTAAGGTAGTGTTGGGGTAGATGAGAGGGGTAGGGTGGTGGTGTTGGGGGTAGATGAGAGGGGTAGGGTGGTGGTGTTGGGGGTAGATGATAGGGGTAGGGTGGTGGTGTTGGTGGTAGATGAGAGGGGTAGGGTGGTGGTGTTGGGGGTAGATGATAGGGGTAGGGTGGTGGTGTTGGGGTAGATGATAGGGGTAGGGTGGTGGTGTTGGGGTAGATGATAGGGGTAGGGTGGTGGTGTTGGTGGTAGATGAGAGGGGTAGGGTGGTGGTGTTGGGGTAGATGATAGGGGTAGGGTGGTGGTGTTGGGGGTAGATGAGAGGGGTAGGGTGGTAGTGTTGGGGTAGATGAGAGGGGTAGGGTGGTAGTGTTGGGGTAGATGAGAGGGGTAGGGTGGTGGTGTTGGGGGTAGATGAGAGGGGTAGGGTGGTGGTTTTGGGGTAGATGAGAGGGCTAGGGGTGATGGTGTTGGGGGTAGATGAGAGGGGTAGGGTGGTGGTGCTGGGGTAGATGAGAGGGGTGGGGTGGTGGTGTTGGGGGTAGATGAGAGGGGTAGGGTGGTGGTGTTGGGGGTAGATGAGAGGGGTAGGGTGGTGGTGTTGGGGTAGATGAGAGGGGTAGGGTGGTGGTGTTGGGGTAGATGAGAGGGGTAGGGTGGTAGTGTTAGGGTAGATGAGAGGGGTAGGGTAAGGTAGTGTTGGGGGTAGATGAGAGGGGTAGGGTGGTGGTGTTGGGGGTAGATGAGAGGGGTAGGGTAAGGTAGTGTTGGGGGTAGATGAGAGGGGTAGGGTGGTGGTGTTGGGGGTAGATGAGAGGGGTAGGGTGGTGGTGTTGGGGGTAGATGAGAGGGGTAGGGTGGTGGTGTTTTGGGTAGATGAGAGGGGTAGGGTGGTGGTGTTGGGGGTAGATGAGAGGGGTAGGGTGGTGGTGTTGGGGTAGATGAGAGGGGTAGGGTGGTAGTGTGGGGGTGGGTGAGAGAGGGGAAGGGGGGGGCGAGTGGGTGGGGGCGTTGCGCGTTTGACATTTCCGAGTGGTCTCCATAGCACCGCGACGACGCTTGCACACACACACATTCACACATACACACACATACACACACATACACACACATTCACACATACACACATTCACACACACATTCACACACACACATTCACACATACACACACATACAAACACACATTCACACATACACACACACATACACACACATTCACACACACACATACACACACACATTCACACATACACACACATACACACATACACACACATTCACACATACACACATACAACAACAACCGCCATTCGCCACTAAGTAGCGGTGACGTCACCACGACGCTTGTGCCCGGCCATGTACACCTTGAGGCCACGTGAAGTGTCGAACGCCCGCTGGCAGGAGGTCACGGGGCAGACCCAGGTGCCACGGGTCGACTGACTGAGATGAGTGGCTGATGCACCACCTGTGCCCCCTACTGTGCCAACTCGCTGTGCTTTAGCCACCCGGCGCTCCGCTCGTTGTTGTGAGCGTCGCTCCTCCGTCCTCTGTTGTTGTTGGATGGCGACTGCCTCCAACTGCCCAGTCGCGTCCTTCACGAGCCACATACATATTCTTGGTTCTTTCAGTAATGTCACGTAGAATGGAAATAATAAAATAATAAAAAATTAAAACATAATAAAATAATTCTCACGATGATTCGGCCACAACGCAAGCAGCCGTTCTCAGACCTGGTCTTCACCTGAGGACGGCTGCTTGCGTTGTGGCCAAAACGTTGTGAGAATTATTTTATTATGTTTTATTTTTTATTATTTTATTATTTCCATTCTACGTTACTTTACCGAAAGAACCAAGAAGATGAATCCCTGCAGTCACGAAAGTTTTAAATCGAAATTTGAGCCACATACACCCTGACAGCTACAGCTAAAAAAAAACTAATTTATTTTTGTGAGGTTAACAGAACCATGACGGAAGTCTTTGCAAAGTCAATCTGTCAGCGCACAGTGGCCAATGTAATAGATCGTGCTGCCGTTCTCACACACGACGCCTGCGTTGGGGTTCACGTGCCAGGTTACCAATTGCTTTGAACGCTTTCGGAAGATTGGCCCAAAAAGAGTCAACACATCTGTCAAAAATACTATGGTTTAATAAAATATATATGCACAGTATAATAAGGCGACGCTTAGGGTGTAGGCCCTTCTTTGTAGCGCATATAAAAAGGAGCAGTTCCCGAAACGTCGTATTTTGTTAAAATAAATGTCACCTTTTAAGACCACAGTTTTCTTTGACAAATGTGTTGAGGTTTGTTGTTGTTAATTGTGCTTGTGCATCACTGCCAACGCAGCAGCAGCATGACCAAATAATGGACATCTGTAAAATGAAAAGGGCTTCATAGCTCATCGCATTTCTCGAGTATAAATAAATATTCTGATTCTGATGTTGAGCTCAGGTTGAAAGCGTTATTACAATGGCGCTGTGCGTCTGTTTGAAAGTTGGGGGAGGGGGGTATGGGGGCACGATAAGTCTCGTAAATGTGATCAAATATGAACGAAACTTGAATACAAAGTTCTGCTGATGTTCGGGACATACCCTGTAGACACTCGGCTACATTGATGGAAGCGACAACCGTTCCACCCTCCCTCCCCTTTGTCCGAGCTGCGTTGTATATCGCACACGATTTGGATACAAAAAAAGCATTTACGGTCGCATTCAGAAAATTTTGGAACCACGTAGTTTCGTCCCTTTTGTCATCTCCATTCTGCCATCTCTGTCCTAATTTTAATTGGCTTTAGTGAGAAAAATCGCGAAAGTTTAAGTGTCAATGTAATTTTGACAACATCATTGCAATTATTGTCTAGGTGTTACTGTTTGGGTTTACATCTGAAATTGTGGAATGCGTTGACGATGTCTGCCGGCCGAGTCGCGTCTATATGGATGTTCGGCTTCCTGTGTGCTTGCCTCGACCGCGACCGTTATCGCCAATGAATTACTTCCGAGGACAATCTTGTGCTGGAAAGTGTTACAAAACCCATGCGTGTGCATTATTTTTCATCTTTAATTTTAATAATTCGAAATCATAATGAAATAAAAAAAAATTATGAGCAGTGCTAGTTTGTTTGCTGTTGGCGAGTTGCGAAAATTCCACATTCCTTTTGGCCTCACCTTGAAAACGCAATCGTTAGCTTTATTTATTATAATTGTGGCCGTCTATCGCAAAGTAAACCCATGTAGTTTGCGCTCCTTCAGCTGAAGAGGAATTTCAAGCCTACACGTTCCCCTCTGATATATGTCTTACTTGTAAGACCACGGATGCGTTAGAATATTATTTTGTCATGTGCAACGACTGCGTGATCAAGTGTGATTAAGTGTGTTAAATCGACTTCGAATCGTGCACAGTTGTACATCGCTAATAAAAGTGGAACAATATTTAAGACATCTTCTTGGTTCTTTCGGCAACGTCACGCAGAAGGGAAATAATAAAATAATACAAATAAAACATAATAAAATAATAAAATTATGTTTTAAATAATAAAAAAAAACATTACAAAATTATGTTTTATTTTTTTATTTTATTATTTCCCTTCTCCGTGACTTTACCGAAAGAACCAATAAGATGAATCCCTGCAGTCACGAAAGCTTTAAATCGAAATTTAATATTTTAAACAAAACTAAAAACAATACCACCCGTAGGTAAACACGTGAACCAAAACACGTCAACTCGGAAGCAATGCGACGTCGTGGCATGTTTGCCTTGGTAATGACTCCCAAGGCTTGGGCCGCAACAGCAATGCGCGTGTCGCTCTGCAATCCACGTGTTTGCTTTGGACGCGGGGGTTTCACCGCCGCCGCCGCATGCGTGACATGAAGCGATGTCGGCTAATTTGACTGCGCCGGCAATAACGTCGGCCTCTGATCGCCGTCTCCGAGTTACAAAGCCACCGCGATCCTGGATACACGCGATCGGTCGTCTTTGTCCGTGTCCCTCTGGGCCGAGTTGTTTCGGATGGGTGTTTGCTCTGCGCGCTTTTAAGTGAAATGATGAAAGGGGGGTGGGGGGGGGGGGTTCGGATAGCGGCAGTGGTTAGAGCCACTGCGCCAAATTTTAACCCAGACACTTAAACCGCATGTTGTTGTTGCCTTCTACAAAGGTCGGTGGCGAGTGATACCTGGACCGGTGCCGAGCATCCCACATAACCAACTGATAACTGTAATCTACATTGTCTTATGATTGTTATTGTTTGACTTGCATCCCACTGGGATTTTTGCACACAGCGTTGACATACGGTCATTTTTTTATGGAAGACTTTGCTGTTTTTTTCTGGATTTTTTGTTGCGTGTAGTCACTTTAAGATGTTTCTTGTTCATGTTTTTGTTACGGTTGCACCCGAGTCAAGAGCCGCGTGGCTCACGGGGTTATACCTCATAAATGAAACTGAAGCTGAAAAGTATTTGCGGATGTCCAGCCGTCAAAACACAGCGATGTTTATACCAGGTCAAGCTAGACAGAAAAAAATCACGTAGGTCACGT